AGAATTACAAAACCCCTCAGTACCCTCCTTCTACTGTGACTATTATTGCTGATACCTTTGGCCCCACTGCTTTATTATTTATTTTTATTTTTTTGTAGCTTAGACTGGCCTTGAACTTTGTGTTCTCCTTCCTCGGTCACCCAAGGGTTTATGGCATACCTGGTCCTACTGGTGTTTTTGATGCTTGTTGCGGTGGCCTGTGTTGGTGAGCTCATTTAAGCCCCTTGGGTGTGACGAATGTGCATGCACACGCTCCCATTTTGATCCCTTAGCACCTTCATAGATCAGCATGACAGGAGGATGGGGGCACTGTGGAGAAAAAATGTTTGGAAGGCTCTGGTAGGGAATCGTGCATTGAAGATAGCAATGTGACCAGTGTGAATTTGCTAGAAATTGAGGATTTCTGAAAATATTTGTCCATGGGGAACACTTTGCATTTTCTGTCTAGTTTCTCTTTTCACCTGGTAAATGACTGCCCTGAGCTCAGTGATGTGGGAGGAAAAGACATGAACTTACTACACATCATCTAACACACATGCTATTAATAACTAAGAAAACATCTATTAACCTAATGAACTTGAGCAACAGTTTTGGCTTAAGCATCGGTTTCATTGTCTTTTGGGGCCAGTGGGCTACATAACTAAATCCTGTCTCAATAACAATAATGATGACAATGACGATGGTGATGATGGTGATAGAGATGATGGTGATAATGGTGATATATGATGGTGATGGTGGTGATGGTGATGATGATGGTGGTGATGGTGATGATGATGGTGGTGATGGTAATGATGATGATGGTGATAGTGATAGTGATGGTGATGGTGGTGATGGTGATAGTGATCATGATGGTGATGGTGATAATTTTGATGGTGATGGTGGTGATGTGATTATGATGGTGATAATGGTGATGATGATGGTCATAATGGTAGTGATGGTAATGATGATGGTGATGGTGATGGTGGTGATGGTGATTATGATGGTGATAATGGGGATATGGTGATGGTGATGGTGATGACAGTAATGATGGTGATGATTGCGATGACTATGGTCATGATGGTGATGGTGATGACTATGGTCATGATGGTGATGGTGATGGTGATGATGGCGATAATGGTGATGACTATGGTGATGACAGTAATGATGGTGATGATTCTGATGACTATGGTCATGATAATGGTGATGATGATGGTAATGATGATGGTGATGGTGATGATGATGGTGGTGATGGTGATGATGATGGTGGTGGTGACCATGGTGATGAGACTTGTGAGGGTGATAGTGATGGTGATGGTAGTAAAGGTGGTGAGGGTGCTGATTAGGGTGATAGTGAAAGAGGTAGAGCTGATGACATAGATGATAATGATGGCGAGGGTGATGTTCATGGTGAGGGTGATGATGAGGGTGCAATGTTGAAGGTGATGACAGTGAGGAAGACAGTAAGGGTGATGATGAAGGTGGTGATGATGGTGAGTGCGGAAAGGAGGGTACGCATTGAGGTAGTGAAGCAGTCCTTCATGTATACTTAAGAGCAAAAGCTCTTATGTGTGACTCACATCTTCCTCACTGAAGCAGTTTTGCAGTGAAGCTGTCTGCATGTCATCACTTACTCTCCAAAGCCTGTAACATTTTGTTTGGACAACCCTGCAAAGACATAATTTCAGCAGGTCAGGCCCATGCAGCTGTGCGGTGATGGTGATAGTGATCATGATGGTGATGGTGCTAATTTTGATGGTGATGGTGGTGATGTGATTATGATGGTGATAATGGTGATGATGATGGTGGTGGTGATGGTGGTGATAATGGTGATGATGATGGTGGTGGTGATGGTGGTGGTGATGGTGATGATGATGGTGATAATGGTGATGATGATGGTGGTGGTGATGGTGATGATGATGGTGATGATGATGGTGATAATGGTGATGATGATGATGATGGTGGTGATGGTGATGATGATGGTGGTGATAATGGTGACGATGATGGTCATGATGATGATGGTCATGATGGTAGTGATGGTAATGATGATGGTGATGATGATGGTGGCGATGGTGATGATGGTAATGATGATGATGGTGATGATGACGACACATCAATGATGATGATGGTGGCAATGATAATACTACTTATATGAGAATGGAAAGAGAGAAGCAGCCAATGAGAACTAGAATACTAGTGTGGGAGCAAAAATCGAACAACTTTGATGGGCTAGAGGCTTTTGCCCCAAGCCCTTTCCTTTGTCCTTCTTTCTATGGAAACCCATGTGAAGGGGAAGCCAGTTGAGATCAGAGAGCATGGGAAAAAGTCCAGCATGGTGTGGAGAGCACTGCAGACTCCCAAGCCTATAATCCTATGGCATCATGTGCAGACAGTACTCCAGGGCAAGGAGGATGGGAGCAGGGAAAACCAAGCAGGATGACCTCTACCTTTTCATAATGCGCTCCAGTGACAGCAGCCTTTATCATCCCAAATGCAGACCCTATGATCGAAGCTCGTTTTCAAGCTGTATCAGTGTCCTCAGTGTTACCAGATCTGACTGTGGTTCTTTTGCTTAATACAAGGTAGAAATCAGAGAGAGGCTAGGAGTACTGTTCTAATGAAGCTTGAGGATAAGGGGGCAGCCTGTGTGATGCAGTTCCTGGGAGGCCATCTGGAGAGTGAAGGGTAAAGCTTGGACAGTTGGATGTGCAGCTGGTGCAGGTGTTCTGGTGCCTGTTGTGCATGGGCTGCAGAAGTTTTCATGACCACCATGCCAAGGTATCAGAACCAGGCATTCTGGGCAGGGGCAAAGTTCCTTTGCAAGCTTTAAAGGAAACTGGTAACATAAAGAGAGCTATCTTAAGATGAGTGTCCTGTAAAACCCCACTTCTTGTTAAAGATAAAAATCACAGTAGAGGGGCTCTACTTTCTTCATTCTGTCTCAATTTAACCTGCCAGTACTGTTAACGGTAGCAATTATATTTTGATGTGAATTTTGGAGACGACATTCAAATAGGTATTGAACTTTTACTAAACCCTCTATCTGAACATTCTTGGTGCATTCTCAAAAAAATTCTGAAGTTTAGTAACTCCCCAGTCATGGAGTTTAGCAAGTAGCCTGGCCAGGATATGAGATCAGCTTGTATTAGCAATTTTTCTCATTGCTGTGTCAATATATCTGCAGAAACAATTCAAGAGAAGAACAGTTACTTTGGCCCATGATTCAGGGGCTGTATAGTCAGTCATAGTGGGGAAGGCATGGGAATAGGAGTGTGAGGCAAGCTGGTCACATTGCATGCACAGTCAGGAAGGTAAGGAAGAAGGAGAGAGGGGAGGGAAAAGGAGAGAGAGAGAGAGAGAGAGAGAGAGAGAGAGAATTCAGCTTTTTATTTTCTTTTTCTTTATTTTTTTTAAATGTATATGAGTGTTTTGCCTGCATATGTGTAAGTGTACCCATGTTGTACAATGTCCAAGGAGGCCAGAAGAGTGTGTTGGATTCCCTGGAACTGGAGTTACATATGGTTTTTAGCCACAAGAACCAAACCTGGGTCTTCTGTAAGAGCTGCCAGTGCTCTTAACTATGAAGCCATCTCTCCAGCTTTTCTTCTTCTTATTCAATGCTGGACCCCAGCCTGTGGGGTAGTGCCACCCTTATTCAGAATGACTCTCTTCCATCCTCAGTTAACCTCCTCCGGAAATACTCTCACAGACAGTCCCAGAGGTGTGTCTCCCAGGTAATTCCAGAGAACATTAACCATCACACAGATGTTCCCTCTACAGTCTCCTTTCAGCACTAAGCTTCTGTGCCATGGGTGGTTAAAGGTGTCTAAATGTGAGGCCACCATTCAGAAGAGGTGTGTGTTACTCAGACTTTCTGTCACTTTGACAAGTACCCAAAGAAAATAATTTAAAGTAGGAAGGATTTATTTTAGCTCCCAGTTTCAGGGTTTCAGCCTGTAACACTGGGGAGATCGTGGTGGCGCAGAGAACCTCACCTCACGGCTATAGGAAGCAGACAGAGAGAACGCCTATTAATGGACTGCCTTTGTTCCATTTTATTACATTCCTCTCTTGTGGGATAGGATCACCCATATCCAGGGTGGGTCTTCCTTACTTAATCTTAATCCTCTTAATGACTGATGGTCATATCCAGAACAGTGTTTTCTTAATCTCCTAGGTGACTGTCAATCTAAACAAGTTGTCAGTCAACATGAACCATCATATCAGCAACTTCTTTTGTCTCCCTAAACGTACAAGTGGAAAGTAAGCTCTTTTACTCATTAAAGCCCAATAATTAATTGGCCTGTCCATAAAACAGTAGCATGGCCTGTGCTTGAGGAACAAACGAGATGAATCCTCTGTAAGGCAGTGCATTGGGATGTGGTGATGCTGGAGAGGCCAGCATTTCAATCATAGAGAGGGGAGCTGTGGTCACTGCAAGGGTCACAGTGCACAGCTGTGTCAATCACCACAGAGAAGACAGAGGAAGGCAGGCCACCTCAGTGCCATGAGACCACATCACTCATTTCACTCTGCTTCTCGGAAGCTGTCCTTTAATCTTGTCCCCAGCTTTGAGGACTGCATCCTTTTAGGGCCCCTTGGTTCCATACAGCTCATGTGGCATCCCTCCACACTGTTCTTAACTACCTGATAATTGCAGCCAGGTCACAGGTGTGTCTCCACTGCAGCTGAATACCCCCATGCTCTAGAGCTACATCTCTAAGTCTTACAGGATCTGAATAGTTGAACCAATCAATAAATTTCTACCTAGCATGTGTACTTTTGCCTTTAAACATATTTCAGCTGTATCCGGGAGCTGGTATATTTCTCTTAAACTTTTAAAAAAATTATGAAATAGTCCAGTCATACCCTTCGATGGCTGGAAGTGTGAGTTAATCGGAATCTAATCACCATGGCGATGCCGAGGAGTGAGCTGGCACTGAGGTAAGGCTGCACGTCTCTGTAGGGAGGACAAGTGAGAGCTGGCTGTTCCTTAACCTGCTGTTCTGTTCTTTCTCCCCTAGGAAACAAATGGAGGACTGCTGTGATCCTGCCCATCTCTTTGCTATGACTAAAATGAATTCCCCCATGGGGAAGAGCCTGTGGTACGATGGGGAGTTTTTATACTCATTCACTATTGACAATTCCACGTACTCCCTTTTCCCCCAGGTGAGTAGAGGTCCTTGTGTTGTACACCTGCTTCTACTTCTTGACGTGGTAGGAAAGGGTTGCGTCCATGAGATTACAGACCCATTGGACCTTCTTTTTTTCATCTTTTTTCTTGTCTTAATCTTGCACAATTTTCCTTATATTTTTCTGGCTTTATGCAAGGATGAAAGTGAGATATTACAAAGAAGGGGGATCTTATACAGTTAGACTTTCCCTTACCTTTTAGATATGAACCATATGAAATTGAAGCACGCAAGCAGAGAATAGTCAAGGGAACTGTGGAATTCCTGGTGTTCTGAGGTGGCTGTGGAATGATGGTGAGGATCTGAGATACTGGAATGTTTTCTTATGAGTGGTGTTCTCAGGGAGTGGGGACCATGTGGCTGCTCAGAACTCTTGAATGATAACTCTGTGGCTAGATTCTTGCTATGAAGTGGAGGAGTGGAAGATAGAGAGAAAGAATTCAGTCTGGCCACTTTTGAAGTGTTCTAAATCAAACTTTGCTTACTTGGTATTTTATGTCTTGGTTTCCTGAACATTGCAACAAAATTTTTTTTTTTTAACTAGTGAGTTTGAAGAAGACATTTTTATTTTATTTTAGAGAACTTTCTGTAGAGGGTGAGGAGATCTTCGGTGCAATATCCATTGGGGAGAAATGAATCTTGACCTTCCTAAACCTTCTAGCTAGCCCTGGTTTGGCTGGATGATTTCACAGAAGGGGGATTCATACAGTCAGAGTTAGAAAGTGGGACTGACCTTCTAAGTGTCTCCCTTAATAAACAGTCAGCACATGCTTAAAGAGGGATCGTGGAAATTTGTTCTACAAGAAGCAGAGTCACAGCCTTCGTGAAATAGCCCCACACTTCTGGATATATTCCTGAAGAATTCCAAATAAACTTACCACAGAGACACTTCACATCTGAGTTTACTGCTACACTATGTGCAATAACTAAGAAATAGAACCAGTCTAGATGTCCATCAGGGGAATAGATAAAAAGATGTTGTACATATACACAAAGAAATCTTATGCAGTTGTAAAGAAAAACAAAATCATGGTATTTGTGAGAAAATGAATGGAATTGGAGTTCATTATTTTAATTAAACAGACTCAGAAAGGCAGATATTACATTTTCTCTCATATGCAGAATTGAGACTTAAATATATATGTGCGTGTATGTGTATGTGTGTGTACATATATGTAGGACATGGTAGTAGAAAGGGGAACATGAGCAAACAGACTTAAAGGGAGGAGGGGAGGGGAATGGGGCTGGTGGTTTAATATGCGTGACATGAAAGTTGGGGGTGGGAGGAGGAAAGGGAGAGCAAGAGGGTGGGGGGCGATGGGGAAGGTAGGGGTCAGGTAAGAATAAAGTACAATGATACATGTGTGTGAAAAGGTAAAAACAAACCCATGTCTTTGTATGCTGATGAAAAATGAATAAAGCAATGACAGAAAGAAACATCACACATTTACTAGTAGTAAATGAGTAGTTTTAGAAAGTCTGTTTAAAATTATTTTGTTTTTATTTTTTGTGTATGAGTGTGTTGCCTGCATGTCTATAAGTGAACCCATGTCATGCAATGCCCATGGAGGTCAGAAGAGGACATTGGATCCCTTGGAACTGGATTATAGACAGTTGTTAGTCATCATGTGGGTGCTGGGAATCGAACCTGGGTCCTCCACAAGAGCAGACAGTGCTCTTACCTGCTGAGTCATCTCTCTAGCCCCAGAAAGTAGTGTTTAATCTTTTCAAAAACTACTAAACATTGGCTGAGGAGATGGCTTAGTGGGTAAGAGTGCTTGCTCTGTAAGCATGAGGACCTGAGTTTGAATTCCCAGCACCCAAGTGCCTTCGCCCCAGCACTGGGGAGTGGCGACAGGTTGATCCTGGGAGCTTGTTGGCCAACCAGCCTAGACAAATCAGTGAGCTTCTTCTAGTTCAGTGAGAGATGCTATCTCAAGGCAATAATGCAGAGAGTGATAGAGGAAGACACCCGTCCAAAGTCCTCTTCTGGCCTCTGCATATGTGTGCATGGGTATGCACACCCACACACTCATGTATACGTACCACACACAGATATAACCCCCCCCACACACACCAAGCTTTAATTCATCCAATACTCTTGTACTTTCCTCTCCATTGTTATTTGCCCTTGAGGCTTTCTGGTGTCAAAGGAAATGGTAAAGTCTCATAAAAGGTGGAATTGAATTTTGTCTGTGTCTCTTGTCAATTAAATGCCTTGGATGACCCACCTTGCTCTTCTGAGACTCTAATCTGTATGATAGAGTGGTGTGGGTCCCCTCTACTCAGAGTGGTGGTGTAGACTAATTTAGATCAAGCACGCCAGTGCCAGTTGTCGTCTCCAAGGTGCCATCTGACCACAGGTGCTAATGTCATCTTGCCTCACAAGCTACATCCTGAGACTAGGAGCAAAGAATATGACTCCATTCACCAGTCCATGCAATGTGTAGAAATCTCCCCAGGTATTTTTGGTAGAAAGATAATTCATCAAATGGACTAGGTGCTTCTCACCCCAGTAGCAGAATGGAGAGGCAGCGGTCAAGAGATGGCTCCTAGGGTTAGTGAGTTCTATAACTTGATATAACTGGTTTAGGGTTAGAACATTTTAGCAGCCACACTACCAGTGTGGCCACGTTTGCGTCCAGAAGAAACAGTCAGTAGATGAGATTCAGTTCTCCTCCTCTAAGTGCATCTAATGCAAAGATATTTGCACCTCAACACCCACTTCATAGAAGCAGGAGAGAGGCAGCTTTTAACGCTGAAGCTTCAGGAAGGTGAAAAATGGTGGTATCTGGTTTGAGCCCACGAGTAAGATCCTCTGCCAAAGACTGATACTAGCCAGGCATGGTGCACATACCAGTCATCTTAACATGGGGGAGGCTGAGGCAGGATGATCACATGCTGGAATTCAGTCTAAGGTACATAGTAATTCCAAGCCAATCTGAGCTTCAGAGCAAGACCTAGTCTTGAAACACGACACAGCACAACACTACAGATACCAACCGGCTATGACGTGAAGAAGAGAAAAAGAAACAATTGTCTTTAATGGTAAGAAAAAAGTTAAAAGCAATTCAAAAGAGGTTTTTTTGTACATGCTAGCTTTCAGTCATCCTGAGTGACATTTAACTTTATGGTAGAGCATGCATTTGAGGGTGAACTATGATTAAAGAAAAGCAAACTGGCCTCCCAGCAGTAGGTTGGTGTGCAATTAATTCTGTGTCTTTCTGTGCCTGTTGCATGACCAGGGAACCATCCCTGAATAATAATGGGAAAATGTGTTTTTCTGTAGGAACCAGAAGTCATTTGCATCACTATGTGTATACATAGTCATTATAAAATGCTCAACCGATTAAATGAATAGATTTTCAAAAAAGGTTGCATAAGTATTTTCTGCTGAGATTCTGATATGAGTATTTCATTTGTAAATATCCTGAACCCTCCCCTGGCCAGCACCATAGAAAGGATGATACAGTTTTCATCTGTCCTCAGGCATTATTTCCTCACAAAATATTTCTAGTTCGTTATAAGCAAACTAAGTTGCCAGCTAATTGATCCGTTTCATTCACATTGCCCGTGGGAAGGCCATCAGCATGTGAACATAAAGTAGAGGTCAGGCGAGTGGGCTCCACTCATCTTTGCCAGTGTGAGCAAAACATCCTTTCTGTCCATGAGCATATTAGTAAGCTTTTCTCATCATTGTGCTTAGGCTACTTAAGGGGACAAGTTTTTAAAAAAGAAGCATTTAAGTCCGAAGTTTCAGAGGTTTTGGCCTGTCAAGGCAGACCAGGTATGGTAGAGCGGTTCACATCATGACTGACAGGAACTAGAGTGCATCATTACAAGAGGGGTCAGGGCAATGTATAGCGCCCTCCCAAAGACACACCCCCTAGTGACCCATTTCCTCCAATCAGGCTGTCCTTTCCTCCACCCTACCACTTCCCAATAATCTATTCAAAATTTGAATCTATCAATGGGTTAAACCATTCTTTAGGTCGGAGCCCTGATGATGTCTTCTTCTCTGGAAATAACCTCACTCAGCAGTGTATTTATCAACCTCCTAGGTGTTTTTCAATCTGATCAACTTGATAGTCAATATTTGGCATCAGACTGAGTTTCAGTAAAATAGTGTCAAATCCCTCATTTTCTAATTCAACCTAAGCCCTAAGCATTTCTTCTGACACTTCCCCTTCAACGCTCAGCGTGTGTTGGCCATTGTTCTTAACATTATTACTTTTTTTTTTTTTTTTTTTGCCAACTTTTACTCCTCATTTTGTGGTTGTTGCCAAGGTGGAGTTGAAGAGGAAGATGCTCTGTTCGTTGTGAAATGCCAGCAAGTCCCTTCTAGGGTTGTATGTCATCAGGCGAGGACTCTGGGGGGCTGTGTCTTTGCAGATGGTGCACTACAATTTGGCTATTACAGTTTATTCTTTTTTTTTTTCGGCCTTTTTGAGACAGGGTCTTCCTGTAGCCCCAGCTGTCCTGGAACTTGTTGGGGAGCCCTGATGCTAGGGTTGTAGTCCTCCATGTCCGGATAGCCCTAAGGGGCTGGGGCGCTATATGGAAAGACTCCCCTTCTCAGCAGGGGGCCTCCTGCTCTCTGCCTGACTTACCTGGAAAGTGCTGCCAAGCAGGGATGCCTGACCTTATTTGGAACATGACCTTTGGTATAGTTACCGGGAGTAAAAACTACCCCCAGGTTTTTTCTATATGATAATTAGGCTTTGCCCAGTAGTCAGATGATAGGATCCTGCTACCACATGTAAATAAAGCACACTGTGAGCACCTATCAGCTGAAGCATTGGCTGCTGCCTCCACACTATATTTTCCCTGACCCCCACTGAATAAACGGAGCTGTTTCACTGAGTCTGGAGCTGTATCACTGAACCTGCCTCCCCGGAAGGGCTTTCTTCCGTCAGTGCTCACTGGCCGTCCTGACCCCGTTCGTCGCTTCTGCTCCCTTTGTCCTCGTGGGCCAGT